GAAGGAGACTATAGGAAAGCGGTAGAGCTAGAATACGCCTACCTCCCTACGCCTCCTCCTACGTAAGAAGAAGATTTAGAAGCAGCTTTCTCTATTAGTCTTCCCGTCTCGACCCCTAAGGGGGTAGGAAAGGCACCTCTCGTAAAGGATTACCCGGCTGCCTTTTTATCCTTGCTTCGAGAAGCAAAGGAAGGTATAGGGCCCGATACGGTTACTAAAGAAGACTAATCTTTCCCCTATTATAATCGTTTTTCCGATTTCTATCTAACGCTAATAAAAGACGGTTCCTACGGAGCATTTATAGTAGGCCGGCTTTTTAAGCTATAGCTATTAGCAAGGAAGGTATATAAAAGAGACCTCCCGGACCTACTAGTAAACTAAAAGTAGCTAGAAAAACACCCCTTTAGAGACTAGTTTTTCTAGGCCTAGAAAGACTACCTAGCCTTATATAAAGAGATAGGGTCTTTTAAAGAGGTCCTTAAGGAAAAGGGAAGAGGAAAATAGGTCCTTAGCTATAAGTAGGTCTCTATCTATAAGACTAATAAACACGGCTTCCTTTAAAAGTATAAAGCTTAGCTAGTTATTTACGGGAATTAATAGGAAAAGGGGGATCTTCCTACTAAGGCAACTACCCTAGCAGGGATATCTTTTCGGACCCTTATAGCTATAGTAGTAGAATTCGACCTCGAGCTCGATTAGATAGATATAGTTAACGCCTTTATTAACTGCCTACTTAAGGAAGAAGAAGTTATCTATATACGCTTTCTACTAGGCTTCTAATAGCTAGGAAAGGTTCTATAGCTTAGGAAAGCTCTATACGGACTACGAAGATTACCCTTTCTTTAGTAATAGTATTTAACTAGTTCCCTCGAAGCCCTAGGCTTTAAGAAAGTCCCTTAGGAACCGTATATAATATAGAAGGGTAAAATCATAGTCTTCTTCTTCGTCGACGATATTATCTAGGCCTACCTAAAAGAGAAAGAGGCTGCTACTAGGGAGGCTATACGAGGCCTATAATAAAGGTATAAGATAACTAGGCTAGGGGAGCTAAAGTGGTTCCTAGGGATATAAATCCTTTAGAATAGGTCCTAATAGACTATCTAGCTTACTTAGGACGCTTATATCGATAAGGTCGCTTATAAATTCCTCCCTAAATCCCTCGATAAGAAGCTTCCTTCTACGCCTATATTAAACGAAGAGCTTTTGCCTAATCTATCCTTTTAAGCTAGGGAGTAAGAGAAACACTAATATTAATAGAAGGTAGGCTCCCCGCTTTTTTTAGCTATTTCTACTAGACCGGATATCTCTTTTACGGTCTCCTAGCTAGCTAGGCATAACTAGAATCCTAGCCCTAGGCACTAAGAAGTAGTAGACCGAGCTATCCTTTATCTCTATTTAATAAGATTATATAGTCTATGCCTAGGAGGGCAGGGAAGGAAACTAGCTACTAAAATCTTCCTTTATTTAAGCGATTCGTCCTTTATAGACAATTCCTTAGATAGAAAGAGCTTATAGGGGTATATTATATCCCTTTTTAGAGGAACTATTACTTAGAGAGCTTCGAAGTAAGCTACCGTTACTATATTAAGCACGGAGGCAGAGCTACTAGCTCTTTTAAAAGCGTTAAAAGAAGCGATTTTCCTTAGCCGGCTATTAATATCTCTATAACTATAAATTCCGACCCCGTTAGCTATAGAATGCGATAATATATAGACTATATAAATTCTTACGGAGGAAAATAGTAAGCTATCGACCCGGCTATAGTATATCGATATCTACTAGTATTAGTTACGCTAAGAAGTCTAAAGAGGACTTATTTCCGTCCTTTAGGTTCTAACGGCATTAATAAAAGCCGACGGTCTTATAAAGCCCCTACCGAAGTAGAAGCTAGCTGTCTTTTTATAGTAAATTAGGCTAGAAGACGTTCGAGAAAAGCTATCCCTAGAAGCCCGCCTTAAGAGTCTATAAGAGGAGCTAATAGCACGTAGGAGGAAGGAGACGTCTATAGCCGAAGAGAGGAATTAGGACTTATCTTAGAGGAGGGCCCCTAGCTTAATTAGGACTTATTCTTCTTAAAGGCCCCCTTTTTAAGGACTTATCCTTAGAGAAGCCCCCCTTTCTTATAGCACTTAATATCCTCCTTAAGGCCCCTTTTTCCTAAAGTAGGTCTAAAAGAGCCCGGGGCTAAAACCCGGATTTCTTAAGTAGGGGATAAGTATAGACTAAGACCTCCTTTATACGCTTACTAGCCTAAAGCCGTATTAGCTATGCCCTTAAGGGGCAGGCTATAGCTAAGGGGGTATGTCGCGAAGCGTGGCCTAATTTCGCAGTTCTCGGAGATATCCCTTAGTACGAGGGACCTAAGAAGCTAAAAAACAGGTTTTAAGGAAGGAGCTAAAAGGAGGTGCAGAGAGGAGGGTAGGGGTAAGAGGGGAAGCAGAAGTAGCGATAGCTTCCTATAGAGGTAGCGAGAGATAAGACGGATATGCCGGCAACGGCTAGAAAGGAGGGGAAAACCGGCAAAAAGCTCGGTAGTTAAAAGGACATTAGTAGCTTCTTTAAGCAGGATCTTCTTTATTAATTAAGATGCTAGATAGGTGTAAAGAGGGGCGTTGGATAGAGGAAAGAAGGACAATTAAGGCAATATAATAATCACTCCCCTACCTTTATTGCTGCCCCCGTAAGAATTAAATCTCTCTGCCCTGCCTATCCGACCCCTTACTTCTAATTTCACCTTCGTGCATTTTATATGCACTTCTCGCATCTCTCTTCGCGAGAATTATAGCAGAAGTCTTAAAGGAAGGTATAGAGCTCGTTAAAGGAGTTAAATACTAGTAAGGGCGGTAAAGGAGGAATTAGCTTCGCTTCTTAATAGACTTATTTAGCTTATTAGGCACGTTTAGCTCGTCTAGCTTATTAAGAAGAAGATAAAGATCTATTAGTAATAAGGGTAAGGGGCGTTAACGATAGGGGTAAAAAGCGTTAACGATAGGGGTTAAAGGCGTTAACGATAAGGGTAAGAGGTATTAAGAGAAAAATTAATCTATAATTATTTTATAGCTACTATACGTTAGTAGTTAAGTTACGTATAAGCGTATAGGCGGGGAAAATTTAGGTATAGGTGCGGTGAGGTAGGGCCCGCACGGGCCCTCTTAGTCGAATAAAGATTTAGTCTTAGGCAAATAGTAATACTCTCTCTGCCTTAGAATAGAACGGATCGGAGCCCGTCTAGGGCGGAGAGGGAGTGCCGAGGACACTTATCTAAGACCTATCCGCCGACACCCGGTACTTCTTATCGCGCCGTAGGCGCTATATATTCTCCTCTCGTTACTTTCTCTGTCTTCTTTATTCTACTCGTCGCTTCCTCTATCCTCTTTTTAATCGTCCTTTTATCCCTTTCGCCCTGCTCCTATATTCCTCCCGCTACTTCTTGTTCTCCTCTCTTTATCCGTCCTTTCTATCCTTGCATTGTTTCCTCTTATCAGGCCCATTGTTCTTTGCTCTTCCTCCGTTAATGCTTATCGTCCACTGTCCGTGTGTCCTTTAAGCGTCACTCCCTGTGTCTAACTGTTCCGAGTCCCTCCTGGTCAACAGCCTATCAACTATTCTTACCTAGTTCTTCCCGGCGAGCCGCAGGCGAGGACAGCGGAGCGCTTGCGCCGAGTTTGAACGCAGTTTAGAAGGAGTGGTCTTATACCCTCCGGTGTGGTTCTGCTTGAACTATTTAAGCGGAAAGTGGGGTTATAAGCAGTCTCCTCCGGAATATTGTTAGTCCTAGTCCTTGCAAAGGAGCATCCACCTGCACTGGATCAGGTCCTTTCCGTCCAAGAAAAGGCAGTGCACTTGCGATGATGTCCTTACGGAGTTGAAAAGAAAAGAGATCTATGTCTTCGAGACAGTCGCTCTGCTCGGGGGCCATGGGGTAGAAGTGACCCCGTCACTCCTACAAGGTTCTCGTTCCTGCTCGTACCAGTGTCCTCTTCCACTCGATGTTCTCCCTCCGGTTGAGGGCCAACTGTGTACTGTTTGTATGTGTTTAATGTGGCGGAGCGACTTTATTGGAGGATTGTTAATGCCTTCGTGTGTGCTTTGATCTCGTCCCTTTGCTCGTTGCACTTTCAGGTCCTCCGTGGCGTGACCTTTTGTGAGTTTGCTTGTGAACGAGCTGACGCAATCGAAGAGTTGTGAGTGTGGCTCTTCGCGCCCAGTCCTTCGGCCTGGTCCCACCTCCTTCGGGGGGTTGGTTCCGTAGCCATGAGTGGGATTGAGGGTTCGGGGTGGTAGCCGGGGCAATGTGGTGATCTTGTAAACGGGTCGGGAGTACTTTGTAAACGGTTTGGAATTCGGTTCCCTTGCACAGGGTGTTGAGAGGGTACTACGTCGGGGCTTCCCTTGTAAACGCTTAAAGGAAGGAATCTACGTGCTACGTGGTGTCCGGTGGTCGTCACAGGCGAGTGCATGTCAATGTCAAACCTTCTATTCTCACTCCTCGTGTATAGGCACAACAAGTCGCTTGTTCGTGAATGCGATATCTGGATATTTACCCTGAAGTGGTTCCACTAGTACACTGCAGCGTGTTGAATGAATGGTTGCTTTCCAGCGAGGCGTAGCCGAGAGTAGAAGGCCGTCCGCTGAGGACATATGTCGCGCGCAGCACGATAACGTCCCGTAAATAGGGAAAGGAAAAGGAAAAGAATCAGCCGGGTTCTGTTGTGTGTGTAGAGGGGGGGCCTCATCCTCCATCGGTATTCTGCTCAAACACGTTTAAGTGAAAAGTGAGCATTGGCCATCCTCCCCCGTCTGATTGGCCTTACAACCACTGCATTCCCCTCCCGTCCATTGCGTGTAAGTACATCACTCCGTTCTCAACGTACTGGGGCCTTTTGCTTGGCCCGTTGGCTGTGGGCCCCCTATATCCCAAATTTAGGCAAATAGGGGGCCCGGGGGTATGGGTGACTTCCCGTCACCCTTGCCCTTCATGTGATTGCGTGATTAACAGGCTATGCTTCCCCTTTCCCATGCTGCCTCTCAAAGCTGAAATTCCATACCTCGGCTCTCTGATCTCCTGCTGACGACTGCTTTAGGCCTACGTGCTGGAAAACGCTCGGTTCTAGGGCCCACTTAGCCAGGGAATGATCCCTAGCGTAGTCCTCGAGGATCTGGTCCCCGGCAAAGGCATACGGAGGGTTCCTCAGCAACGCTTGAAATCCCTCGAGATGTTGCTGCGGAAAGACCAGCCCCTGTGCGCAGCAGCCGTAATTAGGCATCTCGCGTGCCGGCTGCCATCTCCACGTAAGCGGGTTAATGCGGCTTACGGATATTCGCCCGGCTATGAAATAGAGGGCGATTAGGGCAGGAAGCCAGAGGCCCAGAACGAGCGCCATAAGTAGGGCACAAGAGCGGGCCGACCCCATAACGGGCACATACTTGAGCCGTCTCCTCAATAGTATCCTAACCAGAAAGGCGAGAAGAACAACTATGTAGGCCAGAATAATATTCTGGAAGTACGATAGCCATTCTTCGTTGTTCCAGCCCATAAAGATTTCCGAGTAGAAGAGACGTAGATATACCCAGTCCTTGCTAGTCTTTTTAGACTGAGTCTCGACGTACTGTAGACTCTTCTTGAGTTGTGCGAACCAGCGAGGCGAGGCTATGATATCATCCTCGACTAGTGCGAAATAGGGAGAGCCGTAGTGCCGACATGTCTCGACGAGGACCGAGTGGTCTAGGCGCATGTTCTCAACGCGGCCGGTCCCGCGGCCGGGCCCTTCCTTATAGACACTATATGGAACGGTCCGATACACGCTTTCGTTAGTGCTTGACGGACCGTCGCCGTAAAGAAGGACCTCGTCGGCGATGTTAGCCAGCCAGGGCTGGCTGTAAGCGAAGTGATTCTCGGGGGCCCTGTCGGCGAGAAGGACGACGAGATGGATGGATGCGCGATCCTCGGGCGTCAAGGTATCGACGAGGGTGGCGACGGTGAAGGCGAGGAAGGACTCGGAGGTGCGATTGATGCTCGGAATGCCGATGCAGAGAAGCCTGCCATGTGGCTCTGCCTGGTCGATCTTAGGCGGAAGATGCTGCAAATAGGCCTTGGCCTCGGCGGCTCGCTGAAGCGAGTATTTTTGCTCGTAGGCCCTGCTCTGGTCGTAGAAGATGGAGGACGGATCGTCGTACGAGTTGAAGTAACAGAAAGTGAGGAGCGACAGCCATAAGAGCCAGAAGCCGGCGTTAAGACGCATTAGGAGCATAGCTGCTCCTTGTGTAGACTTGGTGCCAGTCTGGGAATTAGCTCAAGCCAAAGGACTAGCATAAAGAAAAATCAACAATAATCGAAGTGAGGGGATAAAGGAATCAATGAATTTATTCCGTGCAGAGGGATCACAATTCTTCCCTTGCGTCTCGACCACCCGGAAGCCCCACACTTCTTACGCTTTACATCTTCCTAACTTTGTTGATTATCCAGTAACAGGCCTGCTTGAAGGCCAAACTTCTGCAAGTGTTCAGCATCCTGTCCCTAGTAGCTGGGGCATGGTCTGTTCCCGCGTGAAGTTGATATTGAAAATAGTTGATCGGCATTGTCGCCGGGCTTTTCATTTTTTTTTTCTGCTCATTGTCGAGCCTTCCTGTGGCAATTGCAAACAGGGTTTCAAATGCTGCTCTGCCCGCTTGCTTGTCTGGTGTCTAGTTCTTTGGGTCGTGAACGGTTTCCCCTCTAAGAAAATACGAAAGGTTTCCGATTTTCGTTTTTGCGCTTCGCGTTATAATCTCGCGCTCCTTGGTCTACTACTTACATCGAAACAGAAGATTTTAGATTCCGTTCACATAGCGCCCACTAACGTCTTTCACGATAATAGGTCAGCGAATAAGAGCGAAAAGAGTCCTAAGTCTACTGCTTAGGGTCCCTATAACTTAGCTATAGTTCGCCTCTTAGTTGCGAGCGATATTAGGTCGGTCCTAAAGAATTCTATTATATACTTTTTATTTATTTATATTATTACTCGTATATAGCCTCTAGGGCTATAGCGAGGCTAATAGGGGCCTAGACCCTTATTAGTAGTCCTAGCTAGCTATAGAGCCCGGAGGCTTATAACTAATTAGGGAAAGGGTAGCTATAAAGGTAAAAATAAAGGAAAGGTTAATCTAGTTCCTCCTATGCGGTGTTTTGCCCCCCTAAGGGCCCTAGGGCCCCTAGGGTACTCCTTCTTAAGCTATTTAGCGGTTCCTATCTCCGTTTTAGCTAAGAAGGTTAAAAGGGCTTCCCTTCCTTTATTAGAGCTATAGAGAAGAGGTAGGCTAAGGGCCTCCTCCCGTCCCTTAGAGGCCTAGTAAAGGACCTCTCTTTCCCTCCTATAGTTTAGGCACCTTAAGATAAGGTGCTTAGCTATATACCTTCCTTAGCTATAGTAGTAGTTATCTTAGTCTTCCTTATTAATCCTCTTTAAGAAGGAAAATAAGAAGCTAGCCTTAAAGAAGAGCTAGTAAAAGGCCGAAAGGGTCGGCCTAGGCCTCCTTATAAGGTCCTTTTTTAGGCTAAAGGCTAAGCGGGGGGTCTTTTAAATAGATATATAGTATTTACCTAGGTCCTTAGCCTTAGGGCCTTTAGTAACCTTAGTAGCTTAGAGGCCCTTTTAGTAGTCCTTAATAGCTTATTAGACCTTTCTTTATAAGTAGCTAATAGAGACTAAAGGGGTTCCTTAGGTAAGGGCCCCTAAGCCCTTCTTAGCTAGCTAGTCGGCTAGCTCGTTACTAAAGATACCTAGGTAGCTAGGGCACTAGTATAGCTATATATTATAAAAGGCCTCTAGGCTAGTTAGGAGCCTTTTAATATATATAGCTAGGTCTAAGAAGCCTATAACCTTCCTAATAGCGGCTTAGCTATATATAAAGATATAAGCCTTTATAAGAAGGTTAAGGGGGCTAGGCCTTAGGGGTCGAGGCCTCCTAGCTAAGTCTTCTAGGACCTTTTATTACGTACTATTAGCGCTGTTAAAGAATCCGACCGTTAGGAGAACTTAAAACGTAGGATCTATATTATAGCCAAAAGTCCTCGCTTTAGCGCTCGTTTATCCTAAACCCTGCTTAGACCACCTCGTTCTTAAGCCTATTAGCGTCTTAGATTAATTAATATCGGCTTCCTTCTTAGGCTAATTAATAAGACTAGTCCCGAAGTTTTTCTCTCTCTACTGCCCTTTAAGGTTTAAGGCGTCAGAGCATATATCTATATACGTGGTAGCATATATGCTCTTAATAAAAGTCCACCTACGGTCTTACCTACTTAACGTTTTATTTTTAATATAGTAGACCTAAAGCTACCGGCGGTTATTCTAAGGATTCAGTTTAAAGATCCTGTTATTAAACTGAACGCTGATGAAGGCTCCAGAGCAGTAACCGGATATAACAATGCCGTGGAGATGAGAATGATTCTCAGCTCTATAAATTTAAACGCATCCGCTGCTTCTGTCTCGACCTGTTCTAAGAACTCAGTGCTTAACTTTACATCATCCCAATATTATCTTATCTAATCCTTGAGCCTCGTCGAGCTCTCTTAAGTCACGATGAAGCTCTCACTTCTCCCCTATGCCGCTGTGTTGGCCTCATCTGGCCTTGGCCAGGCTGCCCCAAGCTCCGTCATTCACAGTGGCCTCCTAGAGGTTCTGCAGCCCGAGGACGGGGCTGCGGTTCTTGAGAAGCGTAGCGAAGCCGATAGCGCTACCTTCACGTTGAGCAAGAGGGGAAACGAATGCGGAGACTCCACCTTTATCGACCAGGGCAGCGAAGCATCTCCTCTGACGTCTGACTGCGAGCGCCTTTCTTCAAACGTCCAGAATGGTGGCCGCTGGACTCTGAGCGGCAGTCAGCGTACACTGGCGACATACGGATCTTGTGCCTTTGGCGCCTCTGGAGGGGGACCATGGTATACGTACGTAGGCAATGAGGACATTATGGACCTCATCAGGGACTCCATCCGAAAGTTCAGGAGAGGCAATGATGGCAAGATTGGGGCTAAGGGCTCGATGCATTGCAGTGGTAACGGCGGAGGTGGCAACGTTTACTGGGGGATTTACCACACCTAGTGTTAACCAGTAGGCACGTTTACCTAGGGAGTGACTAAATATCCGACCGCTCTGCCTAGTAGTCCGACTAAAAGTAGAGAAGTATGGCTGGTTGAAGCGCAGCGCCGATACCGCACAATTAGGTGCGTACATTCCCCACCTTGACTGCGCGCCCCCCTCTGCGCGCACGTGCTCGCCTTCGTGCTAAGTAAAGCTATTCGCACCTACGGGCACGAAGGCTGCTTACGTAATTTCTATATATTCGAGCTGGAGGCTTAAAGATATGTTATTTCGTCGAATTAAGCCCTGGCCGCCTGACTGCTTGCCTGCTCGTCCTAAAGAGAGTTCGTCGGTATATAAATCTCGCTATACTTCTTCCTTGTCTTAGATAGCGACTTCTACCTTATCCTACTCTTAAGTAGTAGCTTAAGAGCGTAGTAAAAGAAATAGGAGCATAGAAAGGTAAATTTAGTAATATATATCTTAGTCTATCTATTAAGATAAGGCAGGGGTTTATATAAGTATCGTAACTATAAATAGCTAGCTAAAAAAAAGTATTATAATATTCCTATACTTACGTTAGGCCTATATTATATACTTAGGCTAAGAGAGTTATTTTAGTTAGGTAAGCTTCTTTATATATAACTATTATATCTATTAAGTATAACTCTAGCCTTTTATACTAACTCTTTAATATACTTCTTTACTACCTTAGCTTTTAAATAATAAGGTAATAAGTAAAAGACCGCTTAGTTTACTAAATATAAAGCTATTTTAATATTAAATTTAGCTACCTTATTATTTATCTAAGGAGGTTATTTTAAAAAAGGGAGGGGGCTCCTAAATAGATATTATAAAAAAAGTAAAGATATAAAAAGTAATTTTATTTAGAATCTAGTACTATATAACCTTTATATATATAGTACTATTTACCTTCTCTTACTTAAAAAGGGTTTAAATACTAGTTAATTAAGGTTATATAACTATTGTAAGCTAAGCTCTATTATAAGCGTAAGCTATATAAATATAACTAACTATTAATAAGCGTAGTTAACTAACTAGTTAAGTAGCTTAGTTAATTTATTTTCTTTTACCCTTTACCGCTATTATAATATAGTAGTTTAATTAAATAGCTACTTTATAATAATAAATAGTAGTATAACTACTACTTTTCTTATATAGAGAGATATAAGAAGTATATAAAAATATACGAAGGTAAAATTAAAAGTAAGGGGTCGGATAGTTAGGGCAGAGATATTTAATTCTTATAGGGGTAGTAATTACGGTAAGGGAGTAAGTATTATATTGCCTTTATTATCCTTCTTTCCTTTATTTAACGCTACCCTTTATACCCGTCTAGTATCTTAATTAATAAAGAAGATCCTACTTAAAGAAGCTACTAATATCCTTTTAACTACTAAGGTTTTTACCGGTTTTTCCCCTCCTTTCTAGCCGTTACCGGTATATCCGTCTTATCTCTCGCTACCTCTATAGGAAGCTATCGCTACTTCTACTTCCCCTTTTACCCCTACCCTCCTCTCTATACCTTCTTTTAGCTCCTTCCTTAAAACCTATTTTTTACCTTCCTTAGTCCCTCTTACTATAGGATATCTCCGAGAACTATAAAATTAAGCTACGCTTCGCGATATACCCCCTTAGCTATAGCCTGCCCTTATAGTAAGGGTATAGCTAATACGGCTTCGAGCTAGTAAGCGTATAAAGGAGGTTCTTAGCTCTATACTTATCCCTTTACTTAAGGAAAGTAGGGGCCCTTTTAGGTCCCTAGGGTCTTTTAGACCTACTTAAGGAATAGGGGCCTAAAGAGGGGAAAGTCCTATAAGAAAGGGGGCCTTCTTAGAAGGGAGAAACCTAGTTAAAATAGGGGGCCCTTTAAAGGGAAAACCTTTTCTATTTCTTTAGCTATAGACGTTACCTTCTCGTATAGGCTATTAGCTCCTCTTATAGACTCTTAAGGCTAGCTTTTAAAGATAGCTTCTTATAGACGTTTTCTAGCTTAATTTACTATAAAAAGATAGCTAGCTTCTACTTTAGTAAGGGCTTTATAAGACCGTTTGCTTTTATCGATACTATTAAAACCTAACGGATAGAAATAAGTCCCTTTTAGACCTCTTAGTATAACTAATACTAATAGATATTAATATACTATAGCTAAGTCGATAGCTTTACGTTTTCTATTAGAATTTATATAGTCTATATATTATTATATTCTATAGATAATAGGGTCGGAATTTATAGTTATAGAGATATTAGTAGCTAGCTAAGGAAAATACCTTCCTTTATAGCTTCTAAAAGAGCTAGTAGCTCTACCTCTATACTTAAAGTCGTAATAGTAGCTTACGTTAAAGCTCTCTAAGTAATAGTTCCTTTAAAAAGGGATATAATATACCCCTATAAGCTCTTTCTATTTAAGGAATTATCTATAAAGGACGAATTAATCGAATAGAAGAAGATTTCGGTAGCTAGATTCCTTCCCTACCCTCTTAGGCGTAGACTATATAATCTCGTTAAATAAAGATAAAGGATAGCTCGGTCTACTACTTCTTAGTACCTCGGGCTAGGATTCTAGTTCTGCCTAGCTAGCTTAGAGACCGTAAAAGAGATATCTAGTCTTATAGAAATAGCTAAAAAAAGTAAGGAGCCTACCTTTTATTAATACCAGTGTTTCTCTTACTCCCTAGCTTAAAAGGACGGATAAGGTAAAAGCTCTTTATTTAATATAAGCATAAAGGGAAGCTTCTTATTAAGGGAAGTAGGAAGGAATTTATAAGCGACCTTATCGATATAGGCGTCCTAGGTAAGCTAGATAGTTTATTAGGACCTATTTTAAAGGATTGGTATCCTTAAGAACTACTTTAGCTCCCTTAGCTTAGTTATCTTATACCTTTATTATAGGCCTTATATAGCCTGCTTAGTAATTACTTCTTCCTCTTTTAAGTAAGCTTAGATAATATCGTCGATATAGAGGAAGACTATAATTTTACCCTTCTATATTATATACGGTTCCTAAGGGACTTTCTTAAAGCCTAGGGCTTTAAGGGAACCTATTAAATACTATTACTAAAGAAAGGGTAATCTTCGTAGTCCGTATAGAGCTTTCCTAAGCTATAGAACCTTTCCTAGTTATTAGAAACTAAGAGGAAAACGTATATAAATAACTTCTTATTCCTTAAAGAGGCAGTTAATAAAGGTATTAATAGTATCTATTTTATTAACTTCGAGGTCGAATTCTACTACTATAGCTATAAGAAATTAACCGAATTTTTTCTTAATAAGCTTAATCGTCTAACTCTTTTAAACTAGCCTTATAGGCTTAGAAGTTATATTATAAAAGATCCCTTCCTTTTAAAGAAAGTAAAAGGAAATTAAGCTTATTAAGAATTAAGGGTAAAAAGCTACCCTTTTTCGTTAAAGAATTTATATAGACCTATTAAGTAATTTTATTATAAAGTTTACCCTCTTATACCCTTTTATCTAAACGGTTAATTCCTTAGTAATAAGGTGTTCCCTTAATACCTTCTTAAAGGACCGGAATTATAAGAGGGTATTATAAATATTAAGGGAAGTACTAGAGTTAAGGATAGCTAATTTTTATAGGGGATAGTTAGAGGGTCCTAATAGGCAGTCTTACTTATCTATAAGGAAGATAAATATTAGATTTACTATACTAATAATTCTTTTTTAAACCTATAGCTTAAATAAGGGTAGCGGCGTTAAGTACTATTTCTTAGTAACCTAAATCTTATCTCTCTTCTTTTATAATAAGGGGTCCTCCTTAAGAGACTATTATATTATTTCTTATAACTTCTTTAAAAGGTTAAATCCTTTAGATCGGTTTTCTTTAAAGACCTATTAGTATTATAATAACCTATAGCCTAGGGATTTATAGGCTAGGTAGCTATTTCGTTTAGTCTTTTATTCTTTTAAGGAATCCTTATCTTAGTTTAAAAGGTCTACTTAAACCCCCCCCCCCGTTTACCCCTTATTATTAGTTTTAATAAGGTTTAATTTTAACTAGTTCCTTAATTTCTCGACTAATGGACTAAAAGGTCTATTAAGGGACTAGTTAAGCCGAACGGACTAACGGGACCGGGCCTAGAGTAGTAGGTAGAGCCGGGGCCGGGACTAAAGCAGCCGTTAAAGATAGGGTTAAGGCTCTCGAGGAAGGAGGAGCTAAAGGGGCAGCTGCTATAGTAGCAGCAGCGGGGGCCATAGTAAGAAGGGCTATAGTAGCTATAAGGGTAGTAGGTCGAGCCGTCTAGGTCGAGTGCTAGCTATAAAGGAATAAGACTACTTACTATTATACTTAAGTAGCTTCTTTATTTAGTTCTTAGCTAGCTTCTTAAAAGATAGTTAAGTAACTATTATTAATTAGCTTTATTAGTAGAGATATATCCTATAGCTACTAGCTAAAAAGAGCTTTTATTAAGAAGTATTAGATAGCTTCCTTAGGGATTTCTTCTTACTTAGCTAGCTACGATAAGGCTAGTAGGCTCCTAGTAGAAAAAGCTCTTAGATATACTATATAGGTCTTCTTAATACGGTTAGTTATATAGCCCTTTAAGGGAGCTATTAAGGTCTCGAGCTTTAAAAGCTACTACCTAGGAGTCCCTTCTTAAAGAGAGATTAGCTTTATAGTATTAATAGATTCCGTTATCGCTATATATATAGTAGTTAGTAGCTTTATCTTATAAAGGTACTCCTTACGATAACTCTTATAGTTACCTAAGGTAGTAAAAAGAGCTCTTTACTATATAGAGCTTAGCTTAAAAAAGAGGGAAGCTCCCTTTATAAATTCTATTGCCCTAGGATAAAGAGGGGGCTTAAGAGGGTCCTACTTATTAAAGAAGACTAAATTATAAATAGTTTTATCTATATAAGCTTATAGCTCCTTTACTTACTTATCTTAATCTTAAGGCTCTATAATAATCGTCTTATAGACTATAAGGGTAGTAGAAGAATCGTTTTTCGATATTATTATAAGGGAAGGATAGAAAAGTTAG